TTTATTAGACTTTGTACAATTTCTCTAGAATATATAAAATTTTACAACTAGGTATTTTAGAAGGTAAGTGATAAACTCTAAACTTGTCGGCAGATAGTGTATGAGAACTATCTCTAAATGACAAGCGCTATAACCCACATTGTTACCTAAATTATAAGTTAAAACTAACCCGGTTACCAACTTGGCACCTATATTCGACCTGCTATAGCAAGATTTCCCTCCTTCTGGACCCTCCTAAAATTGGATATAACTCGGTTCTCAACAGTGGACCTTGCTGCCCATCATGACCACCTCTTCCTTCTTTCAGACTTCTTCTATCAAAGCTTGACAACATAATTAAAACTCTTACTTGTACATAAAAGTAAAAAAAACAAAGCCATGTTTATGAAAGATATAAACATTTTAGGAAAAAAAACACCTCACAGTGAGAAAAAAAAACTTTTCAACAAATTCTAAAATAGTCTAACATAAATGAACAAAGATGAAAAAAGCGAAAAAAAAAAAGAAAGGTAGCTATGATACACTATTATAGCTCATGCCAGGCATAAGGATAAAAATTATATAATAATTGCAACTAATTACTATATCTCGATTGTAAATCGACAGTTTAGCTTTGGGACTCATTCTGGGCACCAACTCTCTTTCCCATACCATAGCACCATATTTGCAAAACAACAAAACACGTGGTTGCCTTCTACTGAGTTCATCCCGATTTGGTAGGTGTAAACAATGCTGATTTTTTGGAGAGAGTAAGCCAAAATGCCCACTTTTTGTTGAAAAATTTTGGTAGGACTGGCACAAAACGATGACGAGAGAAAGATCTTTGATACTATTTAAAGGAAAGTAAGTTACTAGAAACAACAGAAATAGTCTTTCTTCTAGACCGAACTGCACTACTCATATTTTGTCAGTGAGTGATAAACTCTGAACTTGTCAGCAGATAGTGTATAAGAACTATCTCTAAACGACAAGCACTGAGTTTGCAGTGAGTGATAAACTCTAAGCCTGTTAGCAGGTAGCATATGAGAACTACCTCTAAACAACAGGTGCTGACTTACTGTCCCTCTTTCACATCTTATGTAGTTTGGCTAGTCAGTTTCTACTGTTTTTGTTGAAAAGTTTTTTTGGTAAAATTTGGTTCAAGTGATCGTTAAAAAGTATAATTTATTAATTGTACTAAAGAAAATATAATTTAAATTATAATTCCAAATGATTAAGTTTTCAATATTTGTCAAAATTGCTTTGTAATAAAATTAATAAAATTATTTTATTTGTTTATTTAATATAAATTAATTTTTAAATATAAACCAAAAAACAAATTAGATATTAAAACAGTTGATCTAAGGAGCCTTTAGCTTGTTCATTTATAGTAAATATTTTAAAATGCCTAGCTTGTCTGAAGTATACTGTTGAATCCGAATACGTATTCAACTTAGTCTGAAGTGAAACTAATATAATATTCAACTTATCACAAGTGCAAAAATAAAATAGTGATATTGATATATATTTTTTATTATTAGCAAGATATACACATTATTATGCAATCGAATTAACCAAACAATCATTTGGTTAATTTTTTACTAAATGTCCCAAAATTTATGAAAAAAGCTATAATATGAACATGTGATATTATATTGATATTTGGTAGTTATAATTCTGAAAATAATAGGTTCATTTAGCTGTGATTAGTGTGTTATTAAACCCAAAATGAGATATACTTCTGGAAATTATGTTAATATTGCGCTGAGAGATAACTTAAGTAGTTGCTTATGTGGCTTAGCACTGGCTAATAGTTTTTGCCTATATAATGCTGGCCATCCATTAGCATAAATATATAATATTGATATTTACAATTATGTTTGTACAGCTTAGCACTAATACATCTGCATAATGCAGGCCAGCTGTCAATATCAGCATGTGATATTGATATTATGAAAATAGTTAGATTCTTTTAAAAGGAAGAGAAAGTTGGTCACAAATTGTGGTCTGTTGCAGATGAGTGAGCAATTGTTAGCATAAGGCCCGAAAAAATGAATTTTTTTTCAAAAAAAATTAAAAAAGCTAATTTTTAACAAATTAAAGGTTTGAAGGCTATCAACCTAATTATATTAATGTAGGCTAACTATCTAGACACATTACAGCACTTTTAGTAGGCCCTAGGTGATTTCTATAAAAATTTTGCCTATTACCCAGCTTATTATTTCCAGTTTCTATAAATTTCAGAATAGCTAAAAATTTCTCAAAAATCAAATCGATGAGTACTTAAGCTACCAAGTCAAAACAAACAAAATTTATCTACTCAGTTATTGACAATTTTTTAAGTACTTAGAATTTATAAAAACAGCATAAACTCAAATTATAGTGAGAATTATCTATATACTAAGACTGGAGCCGCTTGACTTGGGATATTTGAAATCAATTATAAACCAAGAATATATTATTAACAAAATAATTCAGTCTAAATAATAAAAATTGAACCGATTTACCATCCCTAAGCTAAACTGCGTAGAACTTTCATAGTTTCTGGCCAAATTATGTTAGTCAAAATTATATTAATATTGGCCAGATTTAAACAGTTAAATGGTTAATATGGATATTGTCATCATAATGATATAATGTTAGATACCATGATAAAATTGTTAGAGGTATTACCTAGGTCAGTTGACCCATATGGGTAACCTGACCTGACAGGTCACGGATCGAAAATTAATCTAACCCGGGTCAAATGGGTCAGGATTTAAAATAGGCAAAATTTGCTAAAATAATATTTTAATGTTTATTATATATTGTACCTATATAATCATATTGATAGATTACAATTTTACTAAAGCTCTTACTGAAACAGTATAGGACAGATCATGAGTCAAAAATTGGATCAAGTAGTATGGATAAAGACTGATGAACTCAGATTGCTCAAAGAAATTTTTGATACCATATAAGCGCGAAATAACATTTGTGGGCATTATTTGAAAATCAAAACCTTCAAAAATAGTTTATATGGTCCTGAATTAGCATCCATCGGTGTTCCGAATTAACATGGAGTAGCATATAATTATTGTTGGAAAATGATACGCAGCAGGTCTTCCATAAGTGCATCCTTTATAAGTACAATTTACACACACTTTCTTTCCATAAGTGCACTTCACATACACTTCTTTCTATCCGTGCACATCATTTGATCCGTCTAATGTAATGTACAGTGCAAAAAATCAATGTGCGCATGTGAGGATCGAACATGAAATTTTCTTGTTTATATGAAGAAATCATGTGATCATATGAGTGCGCACATACTTTTCAAACTGAAATTTTTACACTGGTAACGTACCATTATATGTAGATTACATTCCATAAGAGCACATTCCGTAAGAGCACTTTTTTCTAATTACATACATTTATGAAAGACTTCTAAAGCGGAGTAGATCTTATAATATATATTTATTGAATTAACTTTAGGATTAGAATCATCTTATATTAGGGATAGATTAGGTATATATAAGCAAAATTGCCTTCACGACATTTTTAATTAACCCATCCAAGGTAGGTTTAGACTGGTGTTTTTTGTATTTTCTGGTTTTCGATTTTATTTCTTGTCTTGCTTCTCTGGGGATTATTAAATTCTATAATTTGATTAGCCATATTTCACATGATTCTGCTCCGCTTTAGATGACCCCAAAGAAATGACGCACATGAACGTATCCAAATAATGCACAGATGGCGCTTATACGGTACAAACTCCGAAAAGATCTGATTTAAATATTTGTTGGTATGTTTAGATATGCTACAACGGGCACACATCATATATCATCCATATGACCCGTTGACCCGGGTCGACATTTGACCCGTCCGGGTCGTTATTTTCCGACCCGGGTAATGCCTCTAAAAATTGTCAACACATGATTTAATTTATCCAATCAAATCACGAACAAATACCAATCAGCGTGCAGAGCAGATCTCCGATTTCTTAATTGTATATTCTATAATAATAATAATAATAATAACTAATAACTAATAACTAATAACTAATAACTAATAACTAATAACTAATAACTAATAACTAATACGTAATAATAATGGTAAGTGATAGTTGCGCAGCGCGTGACGCAGCGTAAAACCAGTACGATCTCCTGCTGCATCGCAGTTTGGAGAGTTATTTGTATAATGATATTAGTTAAATTATTGTTTATTAAACAAGGGCAGCTGCGCAGCGCGTGACGCCGTGCAGCTATCAGAATACAAAGTTTTTTATCAGAATTTACAGTAATTCATGATGAAAAAAAATGATAATTTAATACAAATCAACTCAACCTTAACTGAAATCACATTAGACTGCAAGTATTTTTGCAAAGATACATGATTAAAAGCCACCAATCACAATAAGTATTTAAAAGGTTGATAATAAGCCTCGGCACTCTTTTCTTTGGCAATTCATCAAAGCCTTATAACTGTCTCAATTTTTCTCGCCCTATTTCACCCGCTACAGACAGTCACTAATGGTTGATGCTACTTTTCCTCTAATGTTACGATGATGCTTGGTGTAATTTTATTTGTCAATTTTCCTGAAAGTATATTATTGTTTAATTTAATTTGTTCAGTTCAAATTCTCGCAATACAGTGTGCAGACTTTAATTGTATCTATTTCTGGCACCTGTGGCTAGCTGGTAATTTTTCAGCCACATAACCAGTCATATTTATGCTTTTCAATTGAATCAATTGAATTTTTTTCTTCACTCTTCATTTACCTTATATTTGTGCTAATTTATTTAATTCGATAGATTACATCATATTAAGGATTTTATCAGAAATAATATAATTGATTGTGCATAAATTACGATTATTATTGAAAATCATGTTCAAATATGAAATTAAATTTAGTCTTATCAAAGTTGCCAGCGGCGCCCCACTTACACTTGTATTATATAATTTTGGTACATAACATTTTGAAATTATTAAATTAGTAATTAATTGAATTATGTGATTCTATCTAACAATCTCTGTATTATCTACATGCCCGTATTCCTATTCCCATCTTTAAAATTCCAAGCTTCATAAAACCAGTTCTTGTAGGTATTATTCCAGATCTGTTCTTTCTCCCAGCAACGTTGAACAATTTCACTCTTTGTAATCAGGCCTTCGGTCGTTGAATTCCAAATGACCCTGACCATAGCAATCCCTCTTCATATTCGGAGTATATATCCTTCATGACTTTCATCTTCTTGATGTCTTTATCTGATGGATTAAGATTATTTCACTAGCGGAGTGGAGATCCAGATTCTCGTAAAAGTCATGGAAGGGATTTTGGCGAAGAGGCACCCAATTTGAATAGCCGACATAGTGAACAAAGTACTTCATTTCTTTAGCCACATGACATATCCACTCACTCACTAGCCAGTCCTCATAGCCTTTGGTATTTGAACTAGCCCAGTCTGATCCAACAATGTCTATAACGAGGTCGCGGGAGAGAGTATATCCTCCGCCTAATTTCGAATCTGAGGAAATTAGTTTAAAAAGTGCATGAAGCGTTGATAATAAAATGAAATAAACAACATACCTGCCATATATGTACTGTGTATGTCCCAATCTGGAAGTACGGCATTGCCATAGTACACACGCCCTCTCGGTATGTCTTGAATATCACGATAGTAATGAATAAGGTGGAGGAAAGCGTCATCGTCCAATTTAACCATATAGTTATCCTTCCTCTAAGCATATTCAAAATATTGAATGTTATTAACGTATGTAGTATCATTAACAAGACTAGAGTACTCACATTTTTAGCAAACCATTTAAAATATTCAAATGTCTTTCCTTCGTCTATGTTCTCTGTGATATTCAAAATAACAATATCTCCGTGCATTTTAGACTCCTCTTCCAGCTTATCTTTATATTCGTCCCTTGGCAGTCCAGAAATGAACCTAATCGAGACTGGCGATTTCTTGACACCAAGATACCGCGCCAGAGCGTCGTTATTATGTGTATACAACTTGCGCAACAAGTCCCTAATCTCTATCATCCACAGTCATAATCCCGATTAAAATCGTCAAATTCTGATCCACGCCTGGAGGGCCCGGAGGAGGTTTGGTATAGGTATAATATTCTATATTCGATAGTGGGACTATCGATTCTAAGGAGAGAAGATGAGTTGAAAGGTAGTAAAATACGTAAAGGCTGAGAATAAAGATGGAGAAATAGATGTAGTATTTATGGATTGTGGGTTTGGACATTTTAAATCTGATGTCCCGAAAATACAATGTGTTCGAATATTTATAAGCATTAATATGCCGCTGGTATTTCAGCCTAATTCATCGTCATGTTACACTATCTACAGAGTATGTATCTATTAGGATGCAATGTATTTTAAAATTACTGAAAGCTCTTTTAACAAAAGATGCTTTACCGAATTTACATCTATTTTTATAAATTATGGGTCACCTGATAACCCGAAAAAATGTATAAACTAAAATTGCCGACAATCACTGACAAAGTTATCCTGGTTTATGTTGAGTTGTGCAAATTTGTTCAATTGAGAGGACATCTTGTTGGAAAATTTCTTTTCGGAGAATATTTTTTCGGGAAACCATCTTTACGGAGAAACATCCTTTTGGAGAAATGTATCAAAATATTTGTCGTTGAGAAACTTCAGAAAAAAATTTTGTCTGTGGAACAGAAGTTCAGAGAAATGGTTTTGTCAGTGAAAAAGTCTAATTTTCAGAAATTTGGGTTGTCGGGAAAGAAAATTCAGTAAAAGATTTCTATCTTGTCAGAAAAAGGAATATCAGAATTATACCAGGAACGTTAGTACCAGGAACGTTAGTGTATGGTTTTACTGGCATCTAAAACGAAGGCAAAATCTTAAAGCTGATTGGTACATATTT